TTTTTTTCATAACATTGTCATGAAAATTGGCATTCGCATCAATAATAACATAATAAAATTACAAAACGTATATATATTTTACTATATATATATTTAACTTCTGATTAGTGCAAAATGCAATCTCATCTCTTTCCTTAAGATGACAAAGTGCAATCTCATCTCTTTCCTTAAGATGAGTTCAATGACTTTGTTGTATCCGTATAAAAAAACAAAAAAAAAAAGAGAACTTTTCTTTTTGTTGTCCATGACAAAAGTCCAGTCTGTCATGTTGTTTGTCTGTTGTCTTTATGGTATAAGTTTTAGGCTGAAAAGATCTGCTCGACAGTGATCTGCAGTTTGCAGGATTCAAACCCCGTGTTTTCTTTGCCCGTCCAATCAAATCAATCCTACCGCTAACGTAACTGTGGGCCAATTGCCATTCATTTTAGGCTCCCAACGCCAGCGCTACTGATTCAGAAGAGAGTGAGAATGAATGATAAGAGCAGAATACTGTGTATTATTTTATAAAATATACATGAGAAAATATATATAACGTAAAAACACACCACTAATTCTAATACTGTTAAGGCTAACAGAGAAGGCCTTGACGGTTCCCAACTGGTTGCTAGGGTTACTGAAATCCCAGCATGAACTTAAATCAGACACGACCTCAAAGTCGGCAATGAAGCAACTTCAGCTCTCTCTCTTCTCTTTTTCCTATGTCTGTTTAATTGTTTGCAGACATACATATAGACAAAGCCTTCTCTTTGCTGAGGGACGGTGAGCAGGTAGGTAGAAAACGTGATGATATTATCAACAGTCTGGCATTGCTGCATTCTGTTTAGCATGCTGCCCCCCCGCCCCCCATCCTTTCCGCTTACCCAGTGCTCCAGAGAAGGTCTGCAGGCTTTTTTTTTGTCTTTGTCGCTCCAGTTAGCTTACAATTATATGCATCAAAACAAGTTATTAAGACAAATCCACAACTGAACCGTTGGTTTTTTTCACATCTACTATCTGTCCAGAACCCTGCAAGAAGTACGTTTTTTTTTTAAAAACTCTAAAACGTTTTAAAAAAAAGTTTGTCAACTGACACCGTGTTCTGTCATGAATCCAAGGTGATGGATATGACTGTAGGCTGTTGGTTGTTTCCGGAGTCAGAAGTGTTTCTCTACACATCATGAGACCAGATCCTTTAACGTTTAACGGAAAATTTTCAGTCTCCCACCCATAAAAAAAAAAGAAGGACAAACACACATATTTTTTTTGTTTTCAGACTCTACTTTATTTCACACAGAGTAAATGTACCGTATTTTCTGGACTATAAGTCGCTTGAGAGTATAAGTTGCACCAGTGCCCTCTAGCGGCTGTCAGTGTGAAATTAACAAATATGTACGTTTTCAGTAGTACAGGAGCAGCAGATACTGGTACACAAACTTAGAGTGCCCTCTAGTGGCTATCGGTGTGAAAATAATGAACATGTACATTTCTAGTGGTACAGGAGTAGCAGATATGGGTCACACAAGCCTAGAGTGCCCTCTAGCGGCTATCAGTGTAAAAATAACCACCATGTGAAAGTTTTTTGTTTTTTTTTTAAATATACCAAAATACTAAAACTAATTCTAAACTAAATCGAGAAATATTTTTGAAACATACCATAATAGTTATACCTGGGAATGGAAGTAATATATTGCCTTATAATAAAGTCAATGCTGCTGAGTTGCTTAACTTGATAAGGTTTTTTTTTTTGGTTTTTTTTACTACACAGGGCAATGTACAACATTTGTAACTTAAATAAATAATAATCAGTTGCAGAAACATGTATTAATATGGTATTGGAGTAGTTGCACATATACAGTCTTACAGTTACATCCGACCCCTTTAAGGAGAACTGTATTGCTGATCTCCCCCCCCCCCCCCGTGAAAATAAGTTTGACGCCCCTCAATATTTAAAACACCAAAGTCTGAAAATGTACTGAAATATATAAACAAATACCCTTATTTACATTCATTTATGTTGAAGGTCTGTAGAAGCTCTTTGTTGACGGATTGGTTTGGGAAAGTGTCTGTTGGTTATTTACTTGACAAAGACGTACTACGGTACTACAACTAGCACCCCAATGATACATTGCTAATGTTCAGATTGTCTCAGACTCTAATTAATCCATGTGTATGGCTTCAGAGTGTGGATGTTTGGTGCGTTGCATGTGTGTCCTGATTTTTGTTTTTTTGCTTCCATCTCTTCTGCTTTCTTGCCTCGCTCTGCGCACGTCGACTCCGTGATTGATCAATTCTGAAATACTCTTGATGTCTGTTCAAGTATTTTTTTTGGATGTTGATGAAACAAAGTGATCTGTTTGGGGGTTTTTTGTTTTGTTTTTTTTTTGCCCCCCTACTCATGTCTTATTCCCATTTTCACTGCTACGCTACCAAGAAACGTACAAAGCAAACGGAGCTAATTGTACGTCTGCGTAGACGGCGGTACCGTACCGTACTTGAAAAAAAAAAAAAAAAAAATTCAGACTTTTTTTTTTTTTTGCCGTTGTAAAATGTCTTGCTCCAGATTGAGATGGTTTGGACATGTGCGGACAAAGGACAGTGGATACATTAGTAGACGAATGTTAGAGATGGAGCTACCAGGTAGGAGAAAGAGAGGAGATATATGGATGCAGTGAGGGAGGACATGCAGATAGTTGGAGTCAAAGTAGAAGATGCAGAGAACAGGGAGAGATGGTAAATGATGATTCGCTGTGGCAACCCCTTAAAAAAAAGGAACAAGTAAAATGTCTTGCCCCTGCTGTGCGTATCAACAAAGAATTACAAAATGATCTTGATATATATATACACCGTTTACGTTAAAATTGAGACCATTTCGCCAATGTTTGTTTTGCGAAATTCAGAATAGACATGTTGTAGATTGATGATGCGATCGATGGGAAAAAATGCCGTCCCAGGTATTTGTGTCGCATATAAGCCGAACCCAGATTTGATCTTTGTTTTTTTTGGTGTTTTAAATTTGGCTTGTATGCGAGTATGTATGGTAATTCTCTCTCCCTGTTTTTGTTGGGCATTTTCTGTAGACTGCATAAGACCTTGGGTGAGACCCTGATAGGTTCTTACGAAGCATGACTTTATTTGTGTGTCCCAAGCTAACACCTCTACACCATATTTGGACTCAAAGGCAAGCTTCGGCAAACTTTTTGACTCGCGGGCCACAACGGGTCCTAAAATTTGACATGGGGCCAGTCTGGAGCAGATAGATGGAGCGTTCGTATAAATTGAAACAAATGACATGTAAAAGTTATAAAAGCTAAAAATTCTTCTTTCCTTTCTAGGGAAAAGGCAGAAGTATAATGATAATAGAAATTAAATAACATAATTTGATCAACTTTAGCAGCCCGGATTAACAAGCCAAACGGGCTGCATCCGGCCCCGGGGCCATAGTTTACCCATGACTGCTCTAAGGTCTTATCTCTCAGATTGACAATGACCATTGAACCAAGTGCCCGCTCCTTTGTACTCATAGACTGACGCGTTCCCCAAAGGTTTAGTGGGATAAAGGAATTCACTTGTTGAACTCTGTCAGTCACAGATGTTTTAAGTTGGTGTCAAATAAGTGAAATGTCAACTGTTTTTTTTTGTTTGTTTGTTTTTTTTTCTCAAACAGGACAACTAAAGGTGAAAATGTAAGCTAGAATTCGGACCTTCTGACAAACCAGCTCATCTCCGCTCTCTCTCTCGTAAAAAGTACCAAAGACTGATGGGAACTTTTTAATGGCAAGATGATATTAGACGTTCGCTGACACTTTCCTCGAGTGAAGTTTTTACTCACCCTCCAAATATAGTATATGCTTTTTCCACTCACAGTATTCCTTTTGTCACATTGTACTTTAATTGTTTTAATTATAATATATGGATAAAGTGGTTTAATGCTGAAGTTCAATATGGTGTTTTTTTTTTTTTTTTATTTGCTTTTGTTACCATAGAAGGATTTAGACCACGAAATTCATCAGTCAATTCTGAGGTGCTTATTTTTCAGGTTATTTTAAAAAAAAAAAAATTAAAATTGATTAAGAGACTTTGTTTAACTTTTTTTTGTTTTTTTTTTAAATCAAGGTTCTACATTTTATTGTTTCTGTATCAGACGTACTGTTGTGTTTTTTGTTTTTTTTTTATACTCTGTTTGCTTTTTCTGCAAATTCCTTAATCTGGAGAGGAAAAAATGAGACGCCTGCGTTAAGCAGTCTCATCACACACCGAACATAAATGTAAGTAACCATGTGTGACCTTTGACCTCGTCAGTGGTGTAGAAACAAATACAGGGAGCAGGAGCAACATGGCAAAAGTGTACATTTTTGACAGTCTACATTTTTCCTACTCGTTTCAATAAACTCTCAAACCATTTTCTGTTCGACCTAATAGATGTGACTTAAACAAATAGTAGTAATACAAAAATAGTAGTAGGACTAAATCATTTCTAATGTGCAATTTGTTTTATAGCTATTGACTGGAGCATGTCTGAGCACATGTCAAACTGAACGTGGACCACTACATCCATTTATTTTGCCCATCAGTGTTTATTGCACATATGGTTGTCATTTAATACATTTTTATCTTAAAAAAGTCTACAACAGGTGTGAGCAAACGTTTTGACTCAATTGTCCTAAAATTGAATGGGGCGGGGGGTCGGGAGCAGATAGATGGAGGGTTTGTGTGAACTAAGATAAAGGACATGTTAAAGTCATGCATAAAGGCTACACCATCTATTGGGGAAATGTGGGTATTGCAGGGAAAAGACAGAAGTAGAATGATAATATAATTCAATTATATAATTTGGAAAAGTTGTTTGCACCAGTGGTAAAATTCTGTTTTGTTTTTTTTTTTTGTTTTTTTTTTTTTTGCAGGGTGAGTAATTCACCTCGCTTGTTTAAGTTTGACGTCTCTAGTTGTGCAGGGAGACAGGGAGTTGGCAATAGTCTTAACAAGGAAGACATAGCTGTACTCCACCACGTCTGAGGTGTGGACTACAAGTTGGAATAAACAGGTGGATGACAAATTCCAAGTACTACAGCACCTGATCCAGATCTGACACCGTTGACGTTATTCATGTTGTTATTTGTAAGTAATGAACTCTAATTCAGCAGAACTCCTTTAACATGTAACACTAATGATAAAGTCGTACCTTCAACTGTACTGCGTTTCAAACCGTTTTTACGACAGTGCTCAGATTATAATGTCTGCTCATGCTCTCTCTTTTTTTTTTTCTTGCTGTTAAAAGGGAGATTGTTCTTGCCCACCATTGCCAAAAAGCTGCTCAGTGTGTGATTTTTAAAAAATATATATATATTTATTTCATTAATATTTGCAAAACATTCTGCTTTACTTTGTATTGTGAATATAAGCTAAAAAAAAAAATAAAAAAAAGACTTTATAAACATTCCGTTTTCCCTGTTAGGTGGGTTGCCTTCAACAATGCAGTTGAATTATGGCTA